TGCATTGTTATTTAAAGCTTGATTTCTATGAAATAAACAGTATATTGGGTATTATAGAAATCGAGCTTTAAACAATGCATAAATAAAAATGCCACGTTTCAAATCTTTCCTTGAGGTTTGTAAATCATACACCTTCAAGGTGGTGCGTGACTTGTATATATGAGCCGTTTATGTGCAAAATTTTCTAATTGCATTTTGAAATGATAAAAGACAAAAAACGTGTATTCATATTTTTATATCAGGGTGAAAGAAGAAGGTGATATAGCTTCTATTTCTACAATACAGAAGCAAGCGTCCAGTTTCAGTACTTCGTTAGTTGTTTGTTAGATAGCCGACCAAGAACCTAGGTTTTACCAACGAAATCCATATACTCTATAAAAACTTAACTTTTAACAACAAATTATAAGATAACGAAAACTCAAGGAGAGTCTTTTACCCCAACGATAATTATTATCTTTGTTCTACCCTCCTTTATGAAAACTATTTCTTTTTTGACAGCATCATTATAACAACACTGTTATTATCAACTTTTGAAATATCAAAGCTAAACGCTCGGACACGTAAACATATTTTTTGGTCGTAGATTCTAAATCCGTGCTCGGTTTAGCTGTATCAGGTCTAAAAAAGTTTTTCCTATTGGCAATTCGATCCGGGGACACACTATGTACTGGTACACAGAGCTGTTCCGAGTACAATGAAAAAGTACTCAAGTACTGAATACAAGTACTCTTATATAAAAGTACTCGAGTACCAAGTACAAGTACAGTACCGTTGTACTCGAGTACCCATACGAGTACAAAGTACCGAGTACACTTTAGTTATGAAATGTTGGGAAAAATGCTAGAGAAATGGGGCGAATAAGAAATGAATTTAGAATCACTAGTGCAAAACTAAACACTAGCCGGCCTATTGCCTTCATCAAATATTGATATTTCGCTTTATGTTAATTATCAAGGCCGGCTAGTATCAAGTTTCACTTTGCCTTAGCTTTATTTTTTAATTATCTTTTTGAGGAATATTGTCACCTTATTTCTACCAAAATATAAACAAAATTACATTTCATACATAAGTAAAAACCTTTTGTTCAATGCTCTTTTTTGTGTCTTTTTATTTATTGATTGAGGCTGTTTTAAGGCTGTCGTGTGAGTCAAGCTGGCTGATGCTGCCTCAGGCAGCATGTCCGTAAATTGACAAGTCTGAGCAGTATTGCCAAATTTTCAACACCCACGCACATATGTGTCCACGCCAACCTCACTGCATAAAAATGTACTCATTGCATACTTTGGATGTACTCGAGTACATGTAAAAGTACTCGAGTACACGGGAAAGTACTCGAGTACACGGGAAAGTACTCGAGTACATTTTTGCAATCTTAAATGTATCAAGTACAAGTATAAGTACATTCAAATTAAAGTATTCGGGACTGAGTACCGAGTACACTGAAAGTACTTGGAGTACAGTGTTTGAGTACTTGTACTCGAGTACCGCACAGCTCTGCTGGTACATGAATATTTGTAAAATAATATATTTCACCTCTTGTGCCAACATTCATATGCTTTTTATTTCGTTTATAATTTAATATCCTAAATTATACTCAATAAAAACAAATCTGCAAAAAAAAATCTGCAAAAAAAAATTTTGAATTTCATAAATTATCTAAAAAAAACCCTCGCGTATTTTATCTCAAATGTTTACTTTATCTGTATGGACTGTTTATTCTTTTTAGGGTTTAATTAATAAATAAAAAAAATGCTATTGTCGGCGTTTGCATCTAAAAGACTCATATTTCAAAAACCATGCAAAGGAAATAAAGAAATGTCACTGCCAGATTATTAGTTTGACATCTACATTTGCATATAAATAACATATATGTATTAGGGTGGCTTAAAACGACTATTTATTTTTCCAGTCTCCTGAAAATTTGTTACTTATGGGCCATTCCACGCTTAACGGATAGGACAGTTGTCATGTTTTTATTTACAAAATAATATTGTTCTATTATATTACCAATGTCAAATTTTTATAAATAGTTCTAAACAAAAGCTGTTTAACAAGGTTTTTATTTGGCAAAATTAGGTATCGTGATTGACTGTTTAATTCCTTAAAAATTAATAATTTAAAGCGTAACGGACGGGACTATTTTGCCAAATAAAAACCTTGTTAAACAGCTTTAGTTTAGAACTATTTATAAAAATTTGACATTGGTAATATAATAGAACAATATTATTTTGTAAATAAAAACACGGCAACTGTCCTATCCGTTACGCGTGGAATGGCTCTTATAAGTATAGATTATAAGTAAAAAATTTTTAGTAGTCTGGAAAAATAAATAGTCGTTTTAAGCCACCCTAATACATATGTATACAGGGTGTCTATTTTAAAACGAGCAATGCTCTATAAGTCTGGACCTACAATAGATATCAAAAATTTCTCAAAATCGTTTCTAGGATACATAGGGGGAACCAGTATGAGCACAAAAATAACCTTCACTAAGCAACCCCTGGAGCTGTAGCCACCCCAACTCATTTTTTTTCAATGGCAACATACCCTTTGTGATACCTCATTGGAAAGCTCTTGAAAAATGCTATTAAACAGTACTAAACTTTTTACTTTTCATTCGTTTAATTTATGAGAAATAGGCGAAATAATTTTATAATTATTTATTTCAATTTCTCATTATAAATATCAAATTAAAGTATTTTGTTGCAAATAAGGTCGTAAAACCATAAATGAAAAACTGGAAAACAAAGCATAAATAAACAAATTGTTTAAAAATAATAAAACACTTCAATTTTTAGCTCCCATTATTTTGTAAGCAATAGTAAAGTCTATTCTCAAACTCCCTTCTAACATTTTGAAATGTTTGTCGTGGAATAGCTCGGCATTCTCGAACTATTCGTTGACGCAGTTCTTCAATAGAATGAGGCTGAGTTTTGAAGACCATCGATTTTAAGTGACCCCATAAAAAAAGTCTAACGGAGTCAGATCTGGAGATCTGGGAGGCCATTCTATTGGCCCTCTTCTACCGATCCACTGTCCTGGATAATTCTCATCCAGCCAAGTCCTAACTGTTGCTACATAATGAGGTGGTGCCCCATCTTGCTGAAAATGTAATAAATGTTTATCCAAAACTAGTTCCTCATCCTCTCCTCTTTGATTTTATAGTTCATGGATTATTAATGGCTGTATTGTTTCATCCAACATTTCAAAATAAATTTCACCATTTAAATTTTGGTCAATAAATAAGGGACCGATTATACAATCTCCCAAAATTCCTGCCCAGAAATTAAGTTTTTCAGGATGCTGGGTATGGTTTTCTCTGAATAGATGAGGATTTTCATTGCTCCAATAACGACAATTTTGCTTGTTAACATTTCCATTTAGATAAAAAGTACATTCATCGCTGAAGCAAATATTTTTTAGTAGTCGGATCTCAGTTGTTATTTTATCGGTCATGATTTCACAAAATTGTAAACGCCTGTCTGCATCTTCATCGTGAAGTTGTTGTGTAATAACCATTTTGTATGGGTGGAATTTGTGTGATGTTTTAACACCTTCCTAACAGACTCAGGACAAATCCCTGTTAACCTAGATGCCGAACGGAGTGATATTGTGGCATCTACACCAAATTGACCAAGAACCTCAATATGGGTGGCTTCATTAAGTATCCTAGGTTGGTTCCTTTTTCGATTGCAAACTGATCCCGTTTGTTCAAATTTTGCAACCAGCTCTTGAACATATTTATGACGCACATTTGCCAGGGTGTAGTTCATTAAATGCCACTGCAGTTCGTAGAGCACAACGATTTTGTGCAGCATAAATAAAAATAATTTCAACACGTTCAGCTGTTGTGTAAACCATTTTGGAAAATAAATAATACTATTTAAAATATTAAAGTAATCAGTATGAATAGCAGTCTTTTTTGTAAGTTTTTATAATCTGATACAAAAAATCCACCAAAAACATACACATTCCATTGAGAATTTAAATTATTCAATAATGCCAAGATATTTCGCGGCAAAAATTTTAAAATAATAAAATACTATTTAAAAATAGACTCGGAGTTATTTTCTGCATTTAATTTAAAAAGCTACAAATTAAAGTGTTTTGATTATTGTTGAACAATGTGTTTATTTATGTTTTTTTGTTTATTTAACTTTTTTTAGAATTAATTTGTGTTCCCCAGTTTTTCATTTATGATTTTACGACCTTATTTGCAACAAAATACTTTTATTTGATATTTATAATGAGAAATTGAAATAAATAATTATAAAATTATTTCGCGTATTTGTCATAATTTAAAATTAAAAGTAAAAAGTTTAGTACTGTTTAATAGCATTTTTCAAGAGCTTTCCAATGAGGTATCACAAAGGGTATGTTGCCATTGAAAAAAAATTGAGTTGGGGTGGCTACAGCTCCAGGGGTTGCTTAGTGAAGGTTATTTTTGTGCTCATACTGGTTCCCCCCATGTATCCTAGAAACGGTTTTGGGAAATTTTTGATATCTATTGTAGGTCAAGACTTATAGAGCATTGCTCGTTTTAAAATAGACACCCTGTATGTTATTTATATGCAAATGTAGATGTTAAACTAATAATCTGGCAGATGCACGAGCGCTTTGCAAAGCGCCCATAAGTGCTCATAAGCGCTCATAAATGCTCGAGCATTTATAAACTAAAAGCATCGAATTTAAAATTCCCCCAATAAAATTTTTAATCGAGATGATTTTTAGAGAGGGCTTCTGAAACATATTTTCTCGGGAGACTAAAAAAATAGTCGATTTTTTTACCTCCCCCGAGTATGTATACATTTTTTATGTAGGATTTGTAATAATTTTATATTTAAATGAAAAAATATGACACCAGATGACGCTTTAAAATTTTTATCTTTATCTTGTTAATCCAATTTGGATTAATAATTATTAATAAGTTCAGATCGCGCTTAAGCGGTAGAAGAAAAGATCATACATTTAACATTTAAAATAAAACAAACATCTTGCAGGAAACGTTGTACCCGAGTTATTTCTTGGATTTGATGGTGCTGTGCTGGTCCCAGCAACCAAAAGACCGCCCATCGGCCTCGCAGATCGTCTCAATAGCGAGCGCACCAGAGTTCACTCACTTGAGTGACGTGGTGTCTTTGAAGCATCAAGCTCCTGTGGTGGCTTCCACCAGCGCCGCCCTTACCCACATTACCGAAGACGGCCTGTCCGGCTCGGAGATGTGGCTAATGTGCGCTAACTCGCGCATCGATTTGCTTCTAGCGGCGGACCGCGGATGGCTTCAGTACCATACCATGCCGCTTCCGATAAGACCGACAGCTGCTTGCACTGTGGTCAACTCCATTTGGATTGGGGACTATTCCGGAAACTTGCACGCCTACTCGTAAGTAAATTAGCGCTTTTGTTTAGAGACCAGATGTTTTCCGCCGATATTTTGACTGATTGACCTAACATATTGAAATTGGGCAAAGAATGGCCAATGGTAGGTATACTCTAATACCTACTAGATATACTCTAATACCTACTAGATATGCTGTAATACCTACTAGATATAAAAAATGGTAAATGTTTGCCAATTTCATTGAGCAACATAACCTTCCAATAATTGGCAAATTGAGAAAAACTGCATTTTAAGGTTTAGACCGTGTTAATTAAATATTGCTATCCTACGTTTTGTCTCTTAATACCGGTCATAAAATCAATTTTTCCAAAGTAAATAAGCTTATAAGGAAATCTTTAGAAATTTATAAACATCAAAATATCACAAATACTGGTCATCTGTTACCAAGCATGTGGAAATCAATATTCTTATAATTATTTATTTTCTTATATTCTTAGACATAAGTATATATAACAGTAAAACTCATCAAAGTAACAAAAATTATACTTATTGCTAGAATTGTATAGATCTTTTATAGATTAACTCGTTTTCTTGTATATGTTCAGAAATGTTCAGACCTATAAATAGAAATTAAGACAAAAAAAAATTATATTAAAGGAAAACAAAAAGAATTAGGTACTCACGTGATACGAGAATTGAAAAGATTTTTGTAATTAATTAGCCTTTGGACCTTTTTACTAGCGCTGTCTTTGAATGACGTCATCGCGCTACGATTTAAATTTTCAAAATTTTAATTTCTTGATAACATTTCTGCCGTTATTTTTGGAGTAAATCTAGTAACTCTGACTGTCTTTAGACTGAAGAAGAGATCCCTAAGAATTATGTTATGGTTACTGTCGTCCTCTATTCCAAAAACACCAAATTATTACTCTACCCTTTTATTTGCCATAATTAAATATTTTTTCTATGACCACTATGTAAAAGTCACTTTTCATGATGGCATCGTTGCTTAGAAAATGAATCTTTTCATTGGCAAGGCAAAACAAGAATGTAAAGTGACATTTCTGTGTGAAAAGTGACAGGTCTGTGTGAAAAGAAATTGTCAGCATTGTTTGACATTCAGCTGTCAAACACGTTTTTAGGTTATTTTGTTTTGTATTTAAAAATAATATAAAAATAAAAGGGTCGTAGAAAAAACATTGTGAGAAAAGCATTCTTCAAGCTCGTGTTAATGCACACTCTGCCTAACGGCCTCGTGAGCAACTTAAAAACTCGCATGAAAAAGTCGCTTTTCAACACTTGTAAAACAAATTACTATTTCACACAACACCAGAAATGCAAAACCTAATCAAACCTCCTTTTCTACGGCTTAAAAAAGTAAATTGAACAATTTGGAAATTACTAACTATCATTGCCAACTAAAAGTCTCTCTTTGAAGAGCTTTAAGAACTAAGTAAAAATAGCATTAGCAAACCAACTAATGTATAAATGAGTAATAGATACTTCCTTATTTAGATATTTGTATAATGTTCAGTGTTATTTTGTATCTAAGTAAATGTTTTTAATGAAATGTGGTTAAATAAAGATTATTATTAATATTATAATTTACACGCCCTTAAATTTTAGTTTTCCTTTGTTAGCCTTTAATTTATATTATAATATATTCAAGAGTACCCAGAGAGCCATATCAGGTTAAAACATGGCCAAGAATTGCCCATTACCTTTGGAAAAGTTTTGCCAATAAATGTACTATGTAGGACTGTATATTCCTATGGTATTTGTGCAATCGCGATGGCCAACAATAAATGACCAAATTGGGCCATATAGAGCAATATAAACCTATATGGCAATACATATAGAAATCACTTTTCTATATGGTTTTCCAGGTATGGAATTCTATCTGGTTCAATAGTGCAATGCCTGTTTCAAATTCCTATATTGAACCAGATAGATATTTATTTTGTGTTTCTATATGGCATTTTTAATAGGGTTACCGTTGGTTTAATATTATTATTATATTTGAAAGAATATTACTCTTTTTCTCATTTATATTAAAATCTATTAATCTACCTATCTATTAATTTTTTGGAGAGTATTTGAAAATTGGGTAAATAAAACGCTTTTTATAAAACAAATAATTCGTGACATATAGGTAGAAAATTTATTTTTAAATTGTCCTGCTTGTAGTAAAAGCCATAGAAAAAGGATATAAGAAGTGCGCCCTCTGTGTTAAACGAGGGAAACACGTCTATCATGACTCCCCCTAGTTGATGGGCCGGACTCAGCTCATATTGATTTTGACATACCAGGGCCGGCTTTTAAATTTTTATTTATTTATTTTAATAATTTTTAATTTTATTAAAAAAAAAACAAAATAGTGAAACATTTGTTTATTTACAATAAAAATCCTAATGCATTTTGTGAAAAAATACGATTTTTAAAATATTCTGTGACTAAAAGTGTACAAACTATATACAATGATTAAAATTGTAGAAAAAGGCTATATCATATTTTGTTTTTATAAATTTGAATATTGTACATTCCTAAAAATTGTCCAATATCAACATAAAATGTATCAGTTCTAAAAATCTTACAAAAAAAGAGTTAGTACAGGATCTAGTGGAATTAAAAACAAATTTAAGAATAAAAATACTACCTACCCCTTAAAAATTTAAACAAAAAACTAATATTCTTAACTAAATAATATTATATGCATTATATATGTATATATTTTAAGTAAAAGTATGTATTAACAAAAATATAATGACAATAATATTATTTCCTTGCAAAAATATCTTTTATTAAGATATTAAAAAATAATGCATTACAAAAATTCAATTTAATAATTAACATATTTTGGAATTTTTATCATGGAAAACGTTGTATAATTTAAAGCCTATTCAATTTGATTGATTATAGTTTGTAGTTCACAGGAGTTAACTATAGTATACTGAACAACATCTTGCAAAAGTATCTTCTTTCTTCAAATAAAGATTCTGTATACATGCTATAGCATGCAGTTTTTATTTACAAAAGTTACTATGCAACTCGAATACCAAAGTTTTTCAATAGTAGATTGGGTCCCATTTGAAGTTATTAGCTTGGATTTATAAGAGTTGATTTGTATTGTAGATTGTTTATGTTCTCAGATTGGTTTACAGCAGATTTCATATTCCCACTTTAATTGTAGTTTGTATTGCATTTATGTAATTAAGATTTATGTTCTTAGGTTGGTTTTCCATATTTTCCTGATTCCAACTTTATTCAAAGATTTTGTTGAATTCATGCATGAATGTAAGTATGGTTTATGTTCTCAGGTTGGTGTCCCATGGCTTCCAAATTCCAACTTCCAACTTCCTTTTACAAATCAAAAAACCAATTAACAAACATAAAAAACAATGTTAAGCAAAAATATTGTGGGCAGTCTTTAGATATAAATATAGGTAGTAAAAATAAATATACATTCTAACACCAATAAGATTTAAATTAAAAAAAAATTCTAGTCTTTTAAAAAATAAAATTTAAAAAAATATTATTTGGCCTGATGAAATTTCTTTAATTTTTTGAAATGTCCCACAGTTAAATCCTTTTTGGATGCATTTTTTTCTTTAACATATCTAAAAATATTTAGGCGCACACATTTTTCAAAAATTTGAATGTGGCAATTATGGACATTACAAAAACAAAAAGCATCCAAAAGTGAATTATTTAGTTGCCTAAAATTTTTTTCTAAATATTGCAAGTGAGCATGTTCATCAAGATATTGATAAAGTTTGACATAAATTATATCAGTAAAATTAATAACATGGTCACTTGCATAGGTCAACCTTTTTATTTCATCATGCTCCTTATAAAATGTTAAGAGGTTATTGCTCTAACCCCTTCAATTATAAATTTTTACAAATAAATTTTGTAATATTCATGTTTACAGTTTGTAATATTTTTGTTTAATTTGTAGCTAGCTAAGGTGTTTAAAGCTCAAATGTTTATAACCAAGCGAGGGGTAAACCACTGATTTTTAAAATTAAAAATCGCTTACGAATTAATGGCTAAGGATAACAATAACAAGGGTAGTCATGTACAACGCGTCGCTAAGCACTGATTAAGCACCGATTAAGCAAGTTTTCCTTAATGATAACAACTGATAAGGAAAAAAATCTCAACACAATGTCCACTAACATTGAACGGTTGTCTCTAAGATTTTAAAGTGGTTTACCCCTCGTAACCAAGCCATAGAAAAATCGTGGAAAACCAAGCTTTGCTAGAAAGCAGTTTTAAATATTACTAATATTTGTACCCACCAACAAAATACTTACGTTTTCAAACTATATGTCCTGGACCCAAAATATCATAAAACTTGAAATCACCAACTTTCTTTGTGGCACAAAGTTTGTGAAACCTTCTTTCTAGTAAAACTAAAAAAATATCATTATCATTAGTAAAATTTTAATATTAATAATAATAGTCATAATAAAAATATTACCCAATGCTAAATTTAATTCAAAATGTTTTTTCAAAGATTTTACAAAAATGCACCAGCATTTTACTTATTTACTTAAAGCAGATCTAACTATTCTTTGTCCTTAGTCATGAAAATCAACATAGTTAAAATAGTTCTGCTTTAAGAAAATACATATTCTGTACAAGTACATAATGTAAATTAGATATAAAGGTTATAAAAGCCTTTTAATATGTAGGTAGATCTTTACAAAGTAGATTTAAAATGAAATTGAATATTATTAAAATATAATAATTAGTAAAACTTGGCTAATAATTTATTTATAATTTATTATTAATAAACTTATAATACCCATTTAACTTTTGTAGACCTACATACAAACAAAAAACCTATAGGTACTATATTTAAAACTTGTCGGTTTTTTAGCAAAGCAGTTTAATTCGTCTTATTTCAAAAGTTATACCTACATACAAACATATGTATATACATATTAAAGCGTAACTAGTTATTTTTTCGATTGTACAGGGTGGAACAAAAAAATTCCACTTTCACCAAAAGCGCCATTTTCAAAAAATAATAACAGTAACATACAATACAAAAATAACACGTTAACACGTAATAACACGTAAATCTTTTGTTGATAATTTTTTACAATTTACAAAATAAGTAGGTACTTGCAAGTACTTGCAACCATGATTATGAGTACCTACATGAGTTTTCACATGACCATTGAATAAAATGTGTAGGTACTTTTGAAAGTACGACGCTATTTTCAAAATTTTTTACGTCATAAAGCAGTAGGAACCGGAATCATAAAAATCTATATGATGTTTATTACATATTAAATTAAGATACATTATTTTTTGATTAATTTTAAAACATATTTTCATTTAATCGACCAATTACTAAGTAGCCAAAAAATTCAAGGAACTTCGCGTTATTTCTTTCATCATGCTAGATGCAAAAGTAATTTCAAAATATGAAATTTTCTGTATTTTAATGTTTGAATTAAACTGATTGGTAAGGAAAAGTATCCACTGATTTTATTGTTTAAAATAATCAGCGTCAATTTCAATTAATAGAATTTACTTACGTTATTTTACTCAATGATTGGAATTAACCATTTCAATCAATAAAAAATAAAAATTATGTTTGCCTATTTCATTCATTGAAAATAAAAGTCCATTCATTGACAGATTTCTTATGTCAGTCTTACCTTACAAAGTGACCTTAAACTTATGTAATGGTATGACAGATTTCTTACGTCAGCCTTACGTAAGATAGTGACCTTAAACTTAGGTAATATTATGACAGATTTATTACGTCAGTCTTACGTAAAAAAAGTGACTTTAATGTTACGTCACGATATGACTTTAATATTACATAAGATGTACGTAATATGTAAGTCATTTAATTACATCATATAAAAGTCACGTTTTGGGTCAGTATTATGTCACTATGACGTAAAAATTGTATTACCTAGATATGATCTACGTGTTACGTAAATTTTAGGTCATAAGTCACGGTTTGGTTCACTGGGAATAGCTATTATTATTAAAGGATAAAATATTATTGATCATTTCAGTTTGTTTCTTGACGATGTAACGTTAGTCCAATTCATTGTTCATTGAAATATAAATTAACAATTGCATTTCGCGAACGGACTCATGCATCCCCGCGAACGGACTCATGCATCCCCTAGATGATCTAATTGTTGGTGAGCACAATGTTCTAAATGAAGGAGTCCGTTCGCGAAATGCAATTGTTAATTTATATTTCAATGAACAATGAATTGGACTAACGTTACCGCATGCCGTTTCGTACACAAATATTGTGCAGCACAACCCCATGCATTTATTATGCCACAAACCTGCGGACTGTATCTCGATTTCCACAGATCTATGCAACGTTCAACACAGTTACGAGCTCTAATATGTGCTCTATTACTTTACGTTTCAATGTTCTGCATGGTTAAAAAAAGATTTATAAACAATCACAAAATAAGTATTATAACCATAGAATAAATATTATTATTTTTAGGTTAAAACCATTTTTTAGTAACTTAAAAACGAAAAATTACTATGTGAAATTGGTACAAATCTTAGGGATTTTAAAAAAGTTACTAGAATATGAATGTTTTTAACATAGGTAGTACAGTAAATTTCTTTCAGTCGAACATTACCGATCTAAAAACCGAACACCGTCGGCCAAGAAAGAAATCGTCATACAGAATAGGTTGTAAAAAGGAAATGTCTTTCTATTTCTTTGCTATCTCTATTTCCATTTCTATTTCTTTTATTTACAGAATCCCACTGCAGCAGTGTATACCTACATTTAAACAAAATACTTACGTTTTCAAACTACATACATATATAACATAATATGTTATATATTATATGAAATATCAAACCCATAAGGCATAAAACTTGGAAGCAATCTACTTTTTCTATGAAGAAAATGTACCATAAAATTACACAAATCCTACTTAATAATAATAAACAGAACTTGCTTTGACAGTTAAACAATTATTGGTTTTACGACGTTGCCGAAAGTGGTGCGTTTTGTTTTAATTACAGGTAACTGTAATCTGTGCACGAACTGGCAACGCTTCGTGGGGGAGTCATGTTTCCAATTCCCCCGCTTATGTTTCACCCCCCTGGTAAAAGCCTAGTACCCATAAACACTATTTACCTAGAAGAAGGCAGTTATTTTTCTTTACTGCAGCTTCAAGATGAAAATCTGTAACAATTAACAAAAAATAAGTACATAATATAGAACTACCAATGTAAATTTATATTACTTCAAAATTAATAAGGGAATAAAATCTTCGAGAAGTAAGAAATTGTATAATAATTGAATGTTTTATTAAAAAACTTTGAAAACATAACCTTAATTACTTACTCAAAATTTAAAGCCGTTTAAAACTTAACACGTTTAGTTAGATGATTATATTTTTTTGTAATAACTATCACACAAGCACTTTTTGACGCCTTTTTGTAGAGAAGGTCTTGAAATATTAACGACATATAACTCGCCATTGCGATTCTTTTTCCATGCTGTTCCGATCAATCTGAATTACAAACGCTTTGCCAATTTTCGACCAAACTTCATTACAAACGACGTTGGCCAATAATAACTCTATCTAGGACTGTATATTTGTGTAGTTTTTGTGCTATCGCATTGGAAAATAATTTGGCCCCTAGGGGCCGTTCATTAATTACGTGAGACAATTTTGGCGATTTTTCGACCCCCCCCTCCCCTTGGTGAGATGTCGTGAGATTTTGCTCGACCCCCTCTCCCCCCCTTAATCTCACGTGAGATTTTTTAAAATGCATGGTTTTAATGTAAATAAGTTAATCTGTGCTTGATTCCATTAGATTTATTAAAAAAAAACAATTTGCTTATAATTGTTTACTTAATTTAACCCAGTTTTCTCGCAATTTTACACTCTTTATTTCCGAAAAAAAAAATTACGTGATATTTGCCGAGAGCCCCCCTCCCCCCCACGTGAGATTTGGTGAGGTTTGGCTCGACCCCCTCCCCCCCCCTAAACACCTCACGTAATTAATGAACGGCCCCTAAAACATGTCAATTTTTGGTCAAACTTTATGAAAATACAATTAATATGTCCAAATAAACCCCAATAAATGTAAAATATCGTAGTCCAAACTTAGTTGGGAAAAAGTTGACTAATTTATTTCCCAAAGCATGGCTCTCTGGGTAGCTCCATCATTGATTAGTAATTGACAATTTCAAAAGCCAATTAAATTGTACAAGCAATGGCCAATAGTTGTTATCAAGTAATCTCCAATCTTTGGACAGAGGAAAATAACCAAAGTTTGACCAATAATAATAGAATTTATTTAATCAGACAATAATAATTGAGGCCCTTGGAATAAAAGGGGTATAAGTGCATCTACCCAGTTAAGCAAAACTGCCTTGAAGAATAGAAGAATAAAATTTCTATAATCTTAAATTATTGAATAACAACAATATATTGCTAATTGAAATCTTATAAATCTTGATAAAAATGTAAAAAAAATTGTTTGGGACTTTTTTGTGTGAAAGCAGCTCCTGAAAAATTATTTAGATACATAGAGATAAGGCAGTTTTGTTTAACTGGGCAGATGCACTTATACCCCTTTTATTCCAAGGGCCTCAATTGTGTTACAATGCGATAATCTTGGGGTCAATAGAATTTACTAAGAATGGACCCAATCACTTGTTTTCTGCGAACTTAAAAAGGTATTATTTAAATGTATCTGGGGTGTTCCCAAGGCTATTATTAAGTGATTTTTTTTGCTTTAAGAAATGTTTGAGTAAAATGGTATATTATTATACATGAGATATTGTAGGCTATTATTCATGAGTTTTGTGTCTCAAGTCGCCAGACGAGAGACACAAATCATCTGAGTGAATAATTCTCATAATCTCGAGTGTAAATAAATACATATATTTGACATCTGTCAGTTGGTTAACCTCACTTTCTAAAAATTTTAAATATAGTCGCCTTCTTTTAATTTAAAACCCGATTGGTTCAATCACAGTGAATATTAAAATCGCCCAACTAGTAATGCCTAAGAACTTTAATTATGATAATTAATTTATAATGGTTATAATTATATACGGTAAAAACCCAATATTATGTAGATAAAAGTAAATTACTAATTTTTTTATTTTTGTTTTAAGATCTAGCGATGGATATAAACTATTTACTTACTCTCTGGAATCGGAATCAAACACCCAAGTAGAAGCTCTTCTGTACTTGCCAGCTTTAAAACGTGTCGCATGTGCTTTATCCAACGGCAGACTTTTTCTGCTCAACTCGGAATTTTATCCATCGACTCCAACGGCAGCCGAAGGATCATTTGTGCTGACGGAATTAGGTTCAAATTCGACTATCAACTGTTTGTGTGCTGCATCTTCAGACACTTCAAAGTAAATTAAAAATTATATTTAACGTTCAATATATAAAATTGCATTTTTTAGTGTTTGCGAACTCTGGTGCGGCGAGAAAAACGGTCAAATTTCCATTTTCACTATTAAAGATCAAGTGGTGGCTGGGAAAGAAGTTCTCAATCATTATCAGCCCATAATCGAAAAAGTGGATGTTATGAATATGGTTGCTGTAGATAATTGTGTATTCACTTACGTTCATCCCGGTTGCATTGTTTATCAATGGGATCAAAAATCCAGAACTATAGTCAATAAATTAGACTGCTCAAAATTAGTGCCCTGCTCTGAAAGCCTTAAATCCATTGCCATTGAGGAGCATCTGAGCCCAACCAATTGTCAAGTAAGCATTATAATAGAATTTATACATAAAATACTAGACTTACAAAGTCGATCTTTTTGCATTCGAGACCAAGCCTGCCGCATTTTGCCTGGAAAGACAGATATTTTTTTTACAGTCAGGGAATTATTAATGATTTCTCCGCGCTTATAATTTGGAAAAAATCGTTACATTATAGAGAGAGCGCTCTATCTCTTGCATGCACAAGGACATACAGTCGGCTGTAAAAGTGCACTGTCACCTTAAGTTCACTTAAAATTTAGTGGCTGCGGTCTAAATTACGTATAAAGAATAATGTTTGGTTGATTTCCAGCAAATTTAAATTAAGTTAAAAAAATAATAGGAAAATTTTAAAATTCTGTTTATGCAATGAAAGTTTGCGGGGTTTTAATAATTTTACAATAGAAAACTGTTGGTTTACTAATGAAATGTTATAACTAGAATATTTTTTTAATAACAAAATAAAATAGGCCCCTTGTTTAGGCTATATTGTTTTGTAACAATAAAAAATAAATAAATCTTTTAACGACTTCAAAACTAATTATTCCCCTACCATTGTCAAAAAGTCAGCTTTTTTGTTTACATTTTATTGTTAAAACTAGGTCATTTTTGACAGTGATTTAATTACCGTGCAAAAAATACTTATTTACACTGTAAAAAATGACGCTTAATTGTATTGAAAAAATTACTATTGTGCCTTATTATGTTTAATGTTTTAATTAGGTTTGTAGGTATTCAATAGTCCTACAGTGCACATAATGATTTGATTCAAGTTTATAAAATAATAAACAATTATAAAAAGTTTATTATCTTTAGTAGGTAGATTTGCTACATAGTGTATGTATAACTTCATTCAAAAATAGGCACAAATTTCCAATATATATTCACAAATGACACATTATAAATGTATATTTAATTAAAAAGTATAAATAGATAGTATATTTAATTAAAAATTATCTGTATCTGTGTTAAATAAAATATATCAATAATTTTTTGTTGGTAAGTTTATTTAGAAGTTTTAAATTAGAATCAACTTTAAAATTTGAAATTTATTACTAATTGTACAAATATCAGAATAAATTTATAAATTTTTTAACGAATGCCAAAATAATATATATTTTGAAAAAATAAAAAAGTGAAATACGGTATTTTCTTAAGAAATTCTATTGTCAAATAACGGCTAAAAATTAACAATGTTACGTAATAAGTTCAGCAGTATTTTTATAGGCACACAAAATTTAAGTAGCCTGGTATTTCTTAAAAAAAATATTACGACCATAATATTGGTAAAAAAGTACTACAATACACAAAACATCAAAGTAAAAATAATGGGCGAGTCAAGAAAAGTACCTAATTAACTTACAAACTTACACTACTACATTAAAAAAAGAATAAAAACAAAAAAGTCTATTTTTACAAAAAATATAAAAGTTGTACAAACGTATGAACATAAACTAAGTATATAATTGTATAAAATTATATATAATTATATAAGAAAACTGACCCGATAAAATTATATATAATTCTATACAATTATATAGAAGTATATATAATTATATAATAAAAATGACCCGATATAATTAGATAAAATTATATAAAATTATATATAATCATAGTTTATCATATTCCTGACAAAAGTCACAAACTGAAATTTTGTAAAAATTTAGTTTAAATTACTAACAAAATTTACCTTATCTTTAATGTATAAAAGTCACTAAGTGCTTTAACCTTTATATGACTTATACATTAAAGATATGGTTATATAATATACCCACATATAATATAATATACCCAGCAAACACAAAGATGTTCCTTGGACATCTAAGCAACATATCTCTGGGATATTTGAGTAATCCCTGGGACGTCCCGCATTATTCTTAAAAATCTGTGGTACGTCCCAAGGAGTAACTTTTGGAACAGTTTGAGACCTAATTGGGGCCATCCTCAAGACATCCAGGGGACATACAGTTGTATTCATTAAAAAAGCGTACAAGAATTAGAATGAGAGAAAACTTTCAACATTATTGCGTAAAACTGGCTTTCCACTGACTTAAGTCACTATAACTGACAGTAGAAAATAAAAATGCCTCGTTAGTTATCTCAAGTTAAAAAGTCTTAAATAGTATCAACAATCGAAGAAGAATGGTCAATTTGTGCTGTGGCGGCGCAGTTGTATAATAGAAATAAAAAATCTATATTTAAAATTAAGCAACGCTGGGAACAGGAAGATTAACTAAACCAAAAAGTTACTTCAGGTCGTCCCAAAATGTCCACCCCTGAACAGGATGCTGCTTTTTTGGGATATTTAAGAAATAATCTATATGCAGTCCATCCCAAATAGATTGGCTCAAGTAATAGAAAAACAGGGATACATGACTAAATATAAAAAAAAATTTAATGTTTGTTTTTTTTTCATTTCTAATAGTTAATAATTTTTTTAATATTATTTAATTAACCTACGACGTCAATGCTCTTTATAACCTAAAGTAATTATTTTAATGACTTATGTCAGTGATAAGCTGGTTTTAAGCAATAATATTATTGTGACAGTTTTCTCTCATTCTAATTCTTGTACGCTTTTTTATTGAATACAACTGTACATGAGTACATATCTTGGGATGTCTTCAGGACTTAATTTCTACTCTATACCTATATGGGAAAATTTAAATTTGCTGTTTAACTGATTAACCATTAACCTGCTTTTCTGTCGTTTATGCAATTTACTTCCTCTATTCAAACTAATTACAATAACAAAATAAACAAATCTAGGGATTTAAATGAAAACTTTTAAACATTTTGTTTACTTACTACTTTCCAATGAGGCTTAGGTCCCTTATTGCCCTATTTTACCATGTTCGTATTTATTTTATGAGCTATAATTTAATTACAAAAAAATTGCGGTTAAGCATTATTTATATGATTTTGTATAATAAACAACATCTTATACCTACGTCAAAAGTGTATTTTTAACTTGCACAATGTAACTAACTGGTAACGAGTAATTATTTTGTTTTAGGTTACAAGTTTGGTAATATTAAATTCGGATTTATACATAGGAACCACATGGGGGTGTATAATTATTGCAGAAAGAACATCCCTTCGCCCAATAACTATATTTAGGCCGTATGAAGAGGAAGTTCGTGCTATAGTTCCATTGGCTCGTTGTAAAAATACCAATGGAAGTAATGATAACACTCCTTTAATCGCCACGATTGGCCGTGGCTATAGAAATTTGCTATCTAGATATACCGACGTACCTGTTGCTATTGGCACCCCATTACCCAGCCCTATGGGTAACAATACTTTGATAACAACTGGTAAACCAAACATGTTTGTGCTTCTATGGAGAGCAGAACACTGGAATACCGATTAAATTTATTTTTAAGTTTAATTTTATTTCATTCCACACAACGTGATATTTTGTGAGATTTTATTTATGTATGTCCTTATTTTGTTTGGTTTAATAATTTTAATTTTACTGACTGGTTTTAAAGGACTGTGATTTTTTCTTGTCATTTATTTTAATTGTTGATTATATTGATTATATATAAGTATAAGGTTGATCATGAGAAGTGTTTTTTTGAGAACCTAAAAAGTTTATTGAAAGTCAAGGTAATATTTTGGACAAAATGGTATTATTTAATAATTTTGAAATATAGTTATATTATTAATAATAATACTATTTTAAAATAATGTCGATGCAAGCGCTTGTGGTGAGCCCTGTTGTAAACTTTGAACTATCAATGTCAGTTTACGCTCGTGGTAAACACCAGCATTGTTACATTGTTGTTTAAAAGTGAAAATAATTATAACTTGTAGAAGTTTTATGCACGGGAAAAACTAAGCAAATTGGAACATGTTCCAGGCTATTGTGTTAATGGTGACTTAAGTAAAATTTTAAATTTTTATCGATAGGGGATTTATGAATTTACCTCTATTAGTTTGGTCAATTTAGACAACCGAGGGTATAACAATTTGCACCCAGCTTATAGTTGGTAGGATTGTTCAAAACACCATCATAAATAAAATCTAAAAAGTCCTTATCGATCCGACACCTGAATAAAAATGTACTCGGGGTCAAAGGTCACAAAAACGGGTTCTTCGCGATTTTTAGCAAAACGGTAATTTGTATCATAAAATTAGTTTAGACAAAAATTGTAGATCAGATAATTACTTAAAAAAAATGTCAAAATACTTTTTTTCCTAAGAACCACCGTTTTTGAGATATAACGATTCAAAAAGTTGGAAGAGTTGTAATCGTCATAATATGTATAAGTACACCATGTATATACATCGGTCAGTGTAACTTACAAATACAATAGTATATTAAAGAACTAATGTCATAAGACGTCATTTTGTCGCACGATGACAATTCATAATGTCTGTTTGTAATGGACGAGTGCGACAAAAGGTCTTATGACATTAGTTCTTTAATATACTATTATTACATGAGTTCTTTATGCTATTTTATCTATTTTGCAAAAATTCTATAAAAAAATTAATTTTATACCTTTATATTTAATTTGGTCGAATTTTGTTTTAGATAGTTGGTATCACAGTCATTGGTTTGACAGTTAATATCAAAATCGATTCGCCATGGCGTCCTTAATTGACTTATTTACAATAAGCGGCTGTTAATGTTAAAGCAGAAAAAAAAGATTTTCTTTGGTGTTAAACAAAATTTATTACCAATATGCAAAATATTATTTTACTAGTATATACTAGATGTCAAGTTGACAGGTGACAATTGACAGATGAAACATAGAAGGTGAAAGAAGACAAAATATAAAATTCATCTTTAAAATTACTACCCAGTTTAGGTGGAGCGGTCGCGGCGCGATTCCCACATTCTCATATATATTTATAATATTTTATCTATTTTGCGTTCATAATTAATTCATTGCAACACCGCTTTCGGTGCTGTGATGAGATACTTTACCCCACCCAAAATTTTGATTTCATAGGTTAGCTATACTTTAAACAGCATATGCTGTTTAAAGTATAGCTAACCTATGATGCATTATTGCAATGGCACATTAATGGGCCATTGCATTATGTAATGGCCCAGTAATGTGCCGTTGCATGTCCGGACTAGTGTGTTTGCTGGGTTATTTAAATTGAGAAGGTAAGTTTATTGATTTTAATTAACTTATATCTTAAAAATTAAAAGAATAATATGAAAGTAATTTTAACAGCTTTCAAACAGGTTTTTAGGTTATTTTGTTTTGTATTTGAAAAAACATTGTGTTTCACTTGTGAGAAAAGCTTTCTTCAAGCTCGTATTAATGCACACTCGGCCTAAGGGCCTCGTGAGCAAATTAAACACTCGCACGAAAAAGTCGCTTTTCAACACTTGTAAAACAAATAACTATAGTTATAGTCATATATAACTATAGTTAATAATATATTATGTTTTTAAAGTTATACCAAAAATAAAAGTCATAGGAAGTATATGTCAATAAGCTAGTGGTTTTGTCTGCAACCAGGGCCCTGTAACTAAGACTTTTTATTTTATCTAGATTTTGAACACACATAAGGTTCCATAAAATTAGCACATTGCATTTATAGGATTTTTAAAACATTGAAAATTTCAGAGGTTGTCCAGTCTGCAACGTTCATTCTGTAACAATATTTGCCTGCTGCTGAACGGACATCGTCGTTGCAGAACGGACACAATTATTAAATTGTCAATTTGATATGCATTATTTTATTGGGTAAATAATTAATAGAAGATGACTTAAACTAAGTTTGCAGTATATTATTCTTGACATACATTCTTGTTGGTTGATTTAATTTGGCTTGAAACGCGAACGTGAACTATTCGCTGAGAAATTCTCGTTGGTTTGAGTACACTGAGAAAAAAATGGGACAAATAAACTGTGTAGCTAATACTTTTATTAATAGTGAATATATTGTTTATTACCTCTAAATAGTCGAAATAATAACGATAAATATACTTTAGTAAAACTTTATGTGTCGGGAGTAAAAATATATTTAGGATAAATAAACTGTACCCTTGTCCCATATTTAAATATTTTTTTTATTTGGGAGCAATAAACTTTTTTCTCAGTGTAGGGGAAGGTGGGGGAATTTTGCGCGGTGGGTATTTTCCGCATAAACAATTCTTCCAGATATGAAGTAAATAATATATTTTTTGAATGTTGCAAACTTGGAAACGTTGGTTTGGGTATACGGGGACTAAAGTCACCCCCCCAAAGTCTTGGCAGTTGGTTCCAAATCCAAACACGGTTGGCAAAATCTATAGTATTTGGGTCGGTTGGTTGGGTATACCTACTCTACCAACCAACCCATCACAATAAATAAAATGAAATATAATTTTTAAACTTTACCTACATATTACAAAATTATAATTTTTAATCTATTGTAACCTCCTATAATCGTTACCGTCAAGAAAATTGTATTGGTCAACCTTATTTTTATTAAAGGACATTATATTTCACACAAGCGGCATGTACAAAGTCAGCACCGCCTCGCGGCTTTGTCTTTCTAAATTATTAATTAGTTGAAGCTTATCTTAGCTAAGTAAAACTAGTGTCAATAAATAGGAATTAATTTTTTTTTAATATGGAAAAGAAATCTAGACCGGGCCGAGTTCTAGTAAAATGCTCATTATGTGGATCTGTGTTTAACAAGGACTAGAAAAAAATGCACGAGGAAAATATTTACGGTGGAAATTTGGTTAAAATTAAAAATGTTACTGTTCCGGATAATCCACTTACATTGGTAGCAAATAAAAAAATAGAGACTTCAAAAGAGCATGCTAATGGTAGGTAAAGACATTCTTTATCTACACTTTACAACACTTTACATTCATGATAAAACTACTGAAAATGTTTACTATTACTACTAAAGTATCGATAAAAAAATAAGTTGGTTTTTCTTATCGTCTCCACCCCCCCAAAAAAGTGTGCCTCGGTACGCCCCTGACCGCAATTAAGCTAGTGACCATAGTCACTAGCTAACTTTGATACATGTACGTTGATCTAAGAAATCCATGTCGTTTCCGCTACGAGTTAGGTTTAAATTTCTGTCCAATCGCTTAAATGTTTATAACACAACTTTATATGATCTTTCCTCGTAATCTGGTGTATGTTTAAATTGTTCAGGTGAACTTTTGGAAAGTTTTTTAGTATCACAATATTTTTCTTGCAATGGGGGTAATTTTACGCTGAAAAATTGGGGTAATTTTGCGCTGCAAAATTTGGCTAATATGGGAGCTTTGGTACAGGAGCCTAGATTGTTCAGCATAAACAGTTCCATTTGGGCACACGCGGAGTACTCGCTAGTAGCGAGTCGCTACACGTGTAGCGAAAAAAACAACCCCTAAAACTACATATGTAGCAACTGCTGCATGTAGACCCTCCTCTTATTTCTAAGAACAAAAATTTTATTTTTAGTTATTTATTTTTGATTTTGTTTGTTTCATGGAGAAAATAGTTTTGTTTTATTTTTATGTTTTAATATAATAATATTATAGAAATAAACGGTTTATTTAGATACCTACAAATCTTTCTCTATACAGCGCAAATTTTCCCCCTATGATGCATCATTTAAAAAAATGTAGTTTTTGCATACCAAACAATTTTTTTTATAAATTGCGCATTATATACACATAGTTAACATAGTAGACTATCGCTGGTATTAATTGCAAAATTTCACATTTAAACTTAACAAAGATACTAGAGATTTTGCTTAGATGCGCAGAATTCCCCCACCTTCCCCTACTTATATAATTAATTTTTTTCACTCCTATTGCATATTATTGACATTATTAGTTTTTGGTTACGATTATTTCCGGAATTCCATTCCATTATTGCAAAAAACCGCCCCGCCTAACAACGGGAATAATGAACTCATTATTCACGTTAGGCATCAGTGATTGGCTGATTCCAATATTCACTGTTATAAGTATATTTAAACCAATCGGGTTTTAAATTGGGAAAAAGTAACCCAAATAGCATTGTAGTTAGGAAAACTGATATCGCCACTTCAAATGAGTGGCAATTACGTTAAAATAACTAAATCTACCACGATACAGTTGAAATATCTTCATATTATATTAGCGTAGTTGTAATCATGTGATTTGCACCAGCAGAATATAAATCATAGTTTTATAATTTTTTGGTGTATTAGTCTGGTATCTTAAACGTTGCCACCACCTTAAAGTTGTCTAAACTTTAGAGTGGATTATGAATATTAACGGCAACCAAATCACATCACTTAAGTATGACTTTGAAGTGGTAGTAGTAGTAAAGTGAGTATATCAGTTTTGGTAACGTTTTCGGAACTTTTCCCAAACCTTGAATGTGGCAACTTGAATATACAGGGTTCCCCATAATAGACTACCCATTTTATTTTATTAATAAATTCCCTACGAGATAACTAAATAAGTTGTTCTCTATGGGAATATCTTCTATAGTCTTTGGGATTAAGTTAATTATTAATCAAGTAGGCGCCTTTCACAAATAAGTTTTAAATTAATAATTTCCTGGAGCGTCATTTTTTCTACGAGAAGTTTGTTAGTTT